AATATGAAACTCTGAATAGGTTCATCCACAATTTTTATTCCTTGGTATTTTTATAAGATCCGTAAAAGTTTTTCGCACTTATTTCAAATGGTATAGCATATGAAATGTCGCAGCACATACACACAAATCCATAATAAGTAATTGAAAAACGTGAAATATTAGGTGAAAGAAGAAGTTCTTGGCGCTTTTCTCAACACAATTCACGTTTTACTTTGCAATTTTGTATTAGTAGAACAAGACGAGCGTAATAGTGAAATGGGTTTTTGTAAAATCATGGCCCCACTACGACTGCCCTATATTCATGCTCTTATCCTACTTAACACCACTTGTGGTAGAAGATATATTAAGTTTTGTGCGAAGAGTTGTAAGGCGCAGAAGAACTTGAGATATGCCCACCTTTTATCTAAGCTTGTCAATCCACCTAATCTTGTGCTCAACTTCCAGGTTGCAATTTTGTTCGGCCCAACGCTCGGACGAACGCTTTTGAAAATGGTTCGGATTGCACCACTTTTTTCTACCACTGCCCATGCAACGCTTGACTTTAACAACTTGTTAGATATACTTTAGGGTGATGTCGGATATTTAACGGTGGGCCCGGATGTGTCAATTTAACTACGAAACGAAAACCGTTACTTTTGACCATCTCACTATAACGACTTTGGAGTTAAGTAACTGTGATAAAATCCTTCCGCTATCAAACTTTACTATAGCGTTTGTCACATTATATAAGAAAAATGAAAGAAACAAATAAAAACCTTTTACTCGCGCACCGGGCGAGCATTCAATGCCCTTGAAAAACTTCATTTAATGCAATTCTTCATATATTCTTATAATAATCAATAACGCGTTTCATGCAAAACACTTATCTTGAATATAAAAAAGGAGAAATAATTAGCTGCCGTTGCTGAAATGAACAAAATTTAATTTTTCGATTGAAGATCTGATTATTCCTCATCCATACTTGCATAAGAACTTACTCTTCACGAGAACCCTTGAACGAGACGAAGTCGAGAAGAAAATAGACCCGAACGATTCAAATTTCATTACTTTCAACCTTTTCGTCAAATTACTATTATAGACCAATTTTCTGGATAAGGTTTGAAAAACTTGGGCTTTGTTCGCCATATAAAAAGTCGCACGTTTCTTAGAAAGTTTCATATTGGAGGATGTCCAAAAGAGAGATAGACACACCCCCATTCAAATCATATTCTAAAAAAATGCTCTATAGTTTGCGTTACAACTTCAACGGAAACGATAAAGTTTCGCATTCTTGTGAAAAAAACTTCGAATAAAAATCTACAGAACGTGAATAGTTCTCTCGTTGTCGCTCTTTTAAACTCTACGCGCCGCATTTTGATCGTCGACTACCGTTGAAAAAGTTGTCATAATGCTTTACGACATTGAGGAAGGGCGCAACATTATGACACCGTTGCGAAAGGGGACAATGACACATAAACAATGGTTTGAGTCATTTGCATGAGATTGGACATGAAAAGGAGCTTGATTTTTACGTACCTCGCGTTGATAACGACTGACGGAAATTGGGTAATGCACGGTAACAATATGCGAAGAAGATTTTGATCCTAGAAGGAAGAAGCTGCAAAAGCCCGAATTGACGCTGCATATGGCAATGCTATTTGCTGGGCGCGATTAGACGGAAGCCGTGTATGATAAATTGCGCCAACTTGACGAGAGCATTGATTCCTCTCGCTGCTGTCAACAAGCAGAAAATTTTGCAAACGAATGTCGAAAGTTACTTATCAAGATGATGCATAGTTGCCGTAATAGCAGTCATTTAAAATATATAAACACTGTGTTTGAATGTTTAGTGAGCATTCTTTGCGAGGCATTCTTTCCTTCGTCATGTTCGAAAATTTCCATTTCTTATGAATGAAATTTTTTTTGTGCTAAAAGGATAAGAAGATGAAATGGAATTTCACTGTACACAAAAAATATTTTGCTCAGAATTGATGTCATTCCCTCTGTGTATGTGTACCTTAATAGTTTGAACTTATGTCTACAAAGGAAAGCACCAAAGTAGACTACGCACCAGACCGTATAGAGCGATAAAAAAAAATATCGAAACGCTTCTTATTTGTTTTACGCGCACTTAAATCGATCGTAAGCATTTCCAAATGACGCAATTGCATCCCTGCATTTCAAAAATCCCTTCACCGAGTTATGCAAAGCATTTGCAACATGTGTAAGAGTTAATTAAGAAATGTTGTGATTATCATATGCATTTGTCTGATCGTAAGGAAGAGCATTCTGGTGAATAAATTTGTCGCAACGAAAATTTGGAAATCCTTTACAGTCTACTATATATGTGTGCGACGCATAGTAGTTAGCAATTTTGACAATACTGTTACAGTACTGACGGCATATTTAGCTTTCAATTAATGCGACAGTCTGCTTGTGCTATATAATTAAGGTAAACAGTGATGCTATAAAATAGCTCGCAATACCTTGCAGGCATTACTAGACGCCATTTAACTTATTTGTGTATTAATAGTATTACCAACGCTATTGGGTGTAAGCAAAACTGTAACGGCACAAGCAAGGAAACAGTTGATCAAGTCCCCGTTTTACTTAGAGGACCCACTAAAACCTAAAAGCATAGTTGAATACTGATGACAATCTGTTATGCATTTGCAAAAAGATTTCGATAAATATTGCTTTAACGAGCCCTAAAATATTTATCCGGTCGATTAAGATTACGTTTGGATGTTACCGAGAAAAAAAATGGCCAACAATTACTATTTCATAAAAAAACTACCGCAAAAAATAATACTGCCTGTAAAGTCAAAACTAATCACATGACAAACACATGCTCCGTGTAGATCATGAAACTGTTTTCGTGAATTTGGAAAGCTTCTTTTGCAATGGTTGGCTTTAGTATTTGCTATAGCAGTAGACAAATATGCTTAATGACGCACGTAGTAAAACGATGCCATATCTACGCTTGCAGGGTTGGAGACCTTTAGAGGATACTCTTTGAAAGGCGATGCCTCGAAAATTCGGCTCTCTTTACAGCTGCCACTTAACTTTACAAATGTTCGTACCAGCATACTTTAGGCAATACTTTGGGAAGTATGTAGTTACACTTGAATGGTGTAGCTGCTCGAATTATTTAATGCTATCGTAATTTTGGGGTAAGCAAAAAAAGCACCAGGCTTCTCTTGTTAGGGCCGCATTCGATTGTCAGAGACTTCGTTCCTCCCTGACAAACTATTCCAGAAGTAGCATAAGGTGCACTCGGATCTTCCCCGTGCGTGCAGCTCATAGAGTCGGGCGCTCTGACACCTTTAATACATCACAGACCTGTTATAAATCTTATATACGGATCATATATACGGACTTTCCCACAAAAAATATATCAGGAAGCGCCGTTATTTTCTTGTATATATCCCACAGCCATATTAGGTCTTCTTGCTCTCAAATTAGAAATATAGATGGAATTAATCCAGTTAAATTAAAGGAGTGGCATAAATGAAACAAAGTCAAGGATAATACGATTCTTTTGCATGAACGGTAAAGTACCTTACCTGAGCTCTCATCGTTTGCTCCAGTCGCCTAGGAATTTATGAAGTGAGAAAAAATAACGGACTTCCATTTACGTAGGTACGTACCAAGAAACTTAACCCCACGCATGCCGCGCACACAATCTCTTAACTTGATAAGCGATATACTTGCAATGAGTTCTTATGAGCTACTTTTCTCGCAAGTCTGGTTAGTGTTTTAACTTATCCATCTTGATGTAATGCGGCCGCGGTATTGAACTAAACACAGCCACCACGATGTACCCCCAAGCGCTGTACGCAGCAGTCAGATAGGAGATTATCTCGGTGCTTTTAGCATAAAAAACCCCACACGCAACCTGACCCAATTGAACATACACAAAGTTTCGACACTATGTAGCTTTCGTTAGATACTACACGCATTCGTAGCCACTGTTGGATTTCGAATTTCTATATATCGCGGAAAGCTATCCGTAGCATTATCCTTCCTCTCTGTCCACTATTACTTCGCAACGCTATTAGAACGGACTGGATAGAGAACATAATTTCATGGCCTCCATAGCAGGGGACTATTTGAAAGAAGGAAAATGTCTTCTTATCGAGCGGACTCCTTCCGATTCTTCTCTTAGATAGTAAAGCTTAAATCCTTCGTAGAGTTTACGGTATTTCTGTGCCCTCAGTTTTCCCCTGCGGAGATATTCGCACAAAATTGAAAGCAGATAGATTGACAAAAAAAAAAAAAAGAAAAAAGGCGAAATAATCGTTGAAAAATCATTTATCCTAACTAACACGATCTTGTTATGCGTTAAGCGGTTATATTCTGCTCGTCTTACTACAAAAGTACCAAAAATAATTTTAAGTGATATATGCCATCTAAGCAAAATTGATAATATACTTAACATATCTGCGTGTGCATGTGTTCATGTGTGGTATAAAATAAAAAAAAAAGTGAATAGGCTGAAGGCTGCATTCAGGGAAAGCTCACCTGTTTATCAATGAAATATTTGACGTCAATCATAAAAATTCATATAAACTTTAATCTCTCAAGTCCATCAAAATTAATTGTTTGTCAAACATAATACGATACTTATCAATCTATCCATCTATCTGTCGGGCAATAACGATGAGCGAGTGCGAGTGAGTGAACGCAAACTTTAACTAACAACAACATAAACGCTATTAGTGTTTGCATTTGTTAGTGCTGGCCTAAGTTATTTGAAGTTAGAACTAAAAAGCCTATATATATATATATATATATATATATATACATATATATAGGTAATATGGACACATATATATATATATATATATATATATGCACACACACACACACACACACACATAATAAATACACATACACATACATATACATATATAAAACAAGAAATAATATGACGAAGGAAGGCTAAAAACGGCACTACAGATATATACATATACTTATACACTCATGTACATCCATATATTAACATATGTACATAGTACCTAGACATTAACGTGCAATATATTTAAGTATCTTAGTAGTGCTGTCATATACTTGATGATATAAATATTGTGTTATTTGCATAAAATTCTAATTTAACTGCTGCCGCTACTGCACGGCTGCTTGCCACCATACAAGAGCACATATAAGCTGCTTCTGCTACTATTTTCAACGTTTTGCTGCCATTGCCATTGGATTTTCCTTGGTTTTCGTTTCCAACACAATCGTCTCTGTATTATTATTTTTGTTGTTGTTGTTGTTGTTGTTGTTGTACTCTTTTACAGTGTCTCCTTCTTTTTTCGCCTCATGCATATTGTATATCTACGTATAGCGTTAAGGCTTCTGTAAAAATTTTATGGTCTCTTCTACATTTAAAATGTTCAACTTCCTCCCCATCCATCCATCCTAACCGGCACCGTCGCCTTTTAGCCAGCTACTCTCTTCAACAGCATTGATTTTTCTTTATATTATACAATTTATTTTATTTTCCAACAAATTTCTTTTATATTTAGTTTCATAGCATTGCACCGAACAGAATAAGAGAATTGGTAGCAGTTTGTCGACTGCCTGCCTGCCTGCCTGCCTGCCTGCCTGTTTGCTCGCCTGTCAGCCCGGTTCGCATTGTTGGTTCCTGTTCTTGCTTGCTTACTACGCCACAAACATACTCTACATAGTTGTACGGTCGCTGGCACGACTTCTACACTACTAATGCTTTTATTGTACTTTTTCGTTTACAGCGTGTGCGCGCAATCAATTTTCTTTAGTTTTTTCTCTTTTTACTTTTATTCTATTTGATGTGCAATATTTATATATATATACATATATCTATGTATATATATATGTATATATGTATATATATTTATTTAGTTATCCCCTCGCTTTCTTATCTTGCTCTTGCTCCTTTTCGCACCCTCCCTCGCTCACAATCATTCTCTCTCTCGCTCCCTTCGTTTAATTTTAAGAAAACGTTTATTTCTGTTTTTTTTCTTTTTTGTATTATTTTTATTTTTTTTCATTTTTTGTTCGTTTATGCAATTTTTTTAAATGGCTGCATAGCAACATTATTTATATTTATACCCTATTTTATAGTTTATTCATGCAAATTGCCAACAGTCGAATATACATTCTAAATAAAATTAAAAAGATGAAAAAGGGAAACGAAAATGAGAAAGAAAAAGAATAAGGAAAATGGAAAGGAAATTATAAAAAATTATAATGATTGGCATGGAAAACAAAATGATTTTCTAATAATAAGAAGAATAAACTACGCGTACATATATAACTACGTAAGCCTAAAAGCGCAATTATTTAGATACAATGAACGAAAGTTAATTTAGCATAATTTCCAGAATTTTAATTACACTTTCAAAAACATCGCCTCCTATACACCTTAGTCGCGAATAGTTTGAGGCCCACCAACAATCGTTGTACGATATTTCATTGCAATATATTGCAAAGTACAATTATATAATGCAAACCTTAAAGAGTGAAAAATAAAATGATTTCTGAAAATTCGACAAATGTGTTCAATGTGGGGCATAAATACGTCTCTACCAATTAAAAAGTTATTTTAAAGACCGTCCTTTCAACCCAGACAAACAACGAAGAAAAGTGCTTACGGTTTAGCTGATTTCAGTTGCCTGAGTAAGCTTGTGTCTGTATGTTTGTTTGTATATATCTGCATCACTAGTAATATTGATTACTTTCGAGTTTGATGGATTATCTAGAAATGGTTAGGATTATTAGTTAATCCTTTAGATATGCGTATCAGAAAAGAGCTCTCCTAAGATTACCAGTTGCCCCGTATTATCCAACTAATGCAATTGAGGTATTACGGACTATATTTTATGTTTAGTTTCCTAACCTAATCGTTTATAGCCATGAAGCCATGAGCTCTACGAACTCAAATTTATGCGCTCTAAAGTTAAAGCGAGAAATTATTTTTAAAGTGCAAACCAAATTAGTTTATGGGGACCCAATTTCCTTTGGTCCTCAGCAATTTTTAATAAATACATATCGAAAATGATGAAAACATTTTTCTTCAAAATGACACGATAGCCTATATTGTGCCACGCTATGTAAGCTGTAAGCTATTCCACTATCGTAACTTAAGATACGTGAATAGGCTCGAAAACTGTTATGCTTCAAAAATCTTATGAGGAGATTCAATTTTTTCTTGCTCTTGCACTCAATCTAAAGACAGAAAAATATTGAAGGTCACGGTCAATTTTGCAGACAAAAATTTTTAGGATAATAGTTGTTTTCTCAACAGCCAGACAATTGGGCGGACGGACAAGCGTATATTGTTATATCAGTTTTTTTTATAATATACGACGTCAATGACGTGTACTTTCGAATATTCAAAACACTTTAAACGGAAAAGGTTGCTATAGTCCAGGAATAGCGATTTGATATATAAACTAACTGGGCTGTATTTGGACCAATTAACAATCTATTATTCGAACCCCATTCCGCAAAAGGATTGTCTAGCAAAATTTTGGCAACATCACAATAAATAAATTCTACTTTGAGCAAAGCAAGCGACAAATAAGAAGTTCTCTGACAAAAAGAACAACTAACTGCACGAAATATGCACCCGATTTGAGCTCTGCGTAAGCAAACTAAAAAATTCTTATATTGCATTATAATGAGAACTAATTAAAAAAAAAAAAAAAATGTTAACTTTGTATGAAATTTTGGATAAATTTAATGCACTTTTAGGGGCACAGCTTTATAAAGATTAAGCCTTTGTATCACAAAAAGGCCCACAATGTTAATAATTAATGCAAGAAATGGACTAGCTATAGTTACTTGACCAAGAGAGATCATTATTCATATCTGCTACCGTACAAGGGTCTTTTTCACAAGTCAATGAAAATTGGATGAAAAGTTCCTTATATTTGTTAAGTTCTTAATTTTGAATTTTGCAATAGCAAAGCATATGATGTAATGCATTGATTATATTGGTCGATTCTTGTTCTTATGTCAACTATGTGGACATATTCAGATATTTTATGTATATGTGGAACAAGCTTGTTTGCTTCACGTCATAACTTAAATTTACTAACGAAGGCAAAAGTGCTTGCCAACAAATGCTACCACATACATTATATGAGTTTAATGTAAAAGTTCGTGGCCTTTTCTCAGCACAGTTCGAATATCTTGTTTTCATATTTCGAATCAATTTCATTAAAACAAAAACATTAATAGACAATCTTTTGCTTGTACTCTGGCAGCACCATTATATCAGAACTTTTACGATTTCGAGACGAAAATCTGAATCAATTGTGTATTTCACAGACCGCCTATGAAGTCAGCCTTACATCAAGAGAGTGTTCTCTAGAGGGTGAGCGAGAAAGAGAGAGAGAGAGACAGAGATAGAGATAGAGAGAGAGAGAGAGAGAGAGAGAGAGAGAGAGAGAGAGAAAGAGAGAAACAAATAGTAATCCGACAGAAGTCGAACGCAAGTTGTTTTATAAGTTGTCGAGAATCTTTAACTTCTTTCACTAGACCAATAGCATAGCTTGATAGATTTAATTATATCGAATTTTCGACTCTAAAATTATTCATTGAGAGATTTTCCTTCAAGGCAATATTACAATTAGAATATAGATTGTCTTTACCTGATTTTTCCATATCCTTAACTGAGTGCATTTTTTTTATTTTTAAAAATTTATTTTAACAAACACTGAAAATAAGAATTTCAGCGGAACTTGAGATGGAGACCGGGAAAATTGTTGTAATCCTTAAATGCTGGCGGAGTCATTTCTAAACCCAACTTTTATACCACGCTAACGCATGTAGTCCTGATAATATTCTACTACGACATAAGTCCATTTTGATCTTTTAATTAGTTAATTAGTTAGTTATGCTATATTCTGGAGATATCAACTGGGTGCCTAAGCAACAGGTTTTAATTTCCCTCTTCAAATGATTCTGGCGAATTTGGAGAATTTCAGCTTCACTGATCGGTGCAGTACAGACGGGCAAAGTATATGGTAAAGAATATTGACAAGCGAATGGTGGCAACAACGCCATAATTGAAAACTGTGAAAACGAAGAGCGCCTTCTGATAACTTTAAATAGCTGGATACCATATTTGGTGTTGAAGTTGAGCTTGAACGTGAACTTACTGAAGTGAACTTGTATTGCATGGCAATTAAGGCTCATTGTGTTAAATCAATAGAAAATAAGCAAAGGTTAGGTTTAGGGTGTTATTGCTGGCACGTTTGTCTTCTCTACTTCTTTACCAGGCACAATTAAATTGAAAAACATTTTTTTTTTTATTATTTATTTTTTTAAATTTCAATAAATCCAAACTAGGTTTCCTACAATATCAATTGTTGTTATGAGGTAGTTATGAGTTAGTCAACTGAATCTATTAAATCTAAAAGGTTTAACCGTCACTAGATAACGATCCTGTTTTAAAAGTACTGAATCGAACTTATAGATTAAATTAAAGACGGTGAAAACTCTTAAAATTACTATAACAGAAAAAGTTCAACTGTCTGTCCTACTCTCACTCTCTATTGATTTTTATCGCTTAAAAGGTTTTATGATATTATTATTATTATTAATGGTTGTTGCCGTTTTGCTTTACTTTGTCGTTTCTTGGATGTTGGTCGATTGGTTCGGTTTGCATGTTCTGCCTTTTTCCTTTCTTTTTAAGTCCCAAAGATCATTTAAGCACACCGGCTCCATACATACATACATACGAACATATATAAATTCCTTTATTAGTCGTCTTTCGTTTTTTGTTTATTTTTATGTGTTTCGTTCATTCTTCTCTAAACTTAAAGTAAGTATTTAGACGGATGGCGAAAAGAAAAAAAAAAAAAAAAAAAAAAAAAAAAAACAGCCAACAACAGTTCAGCATTTGGTGAAACATTTAATTGACCGACCGACGTGCGAATAAACGCGCGGTCTCTTCGTCGTTGGGACGAAATGGCAGACTTGTTTAGACCGCATTTTTTCTTCCCACCAATATCAAATTAAAAGTATATCTAGTTTGGCATCACATATGTAACTGAGCATA